ACTACAACAACAAACTTTTTTTTCCAAAAAATGTTATTATGGTCGTATATATAAAATGATATATAACTGCTATCGGACGATCTTGTGCACGATAAAAACCTATATAGAACTTTAAGTTGGAAGTGTAGAAATCGGATGGCATACATTTTTTTCCGGATTTCATCGTTCTAGGGTGTGTACTACAACAACAAACTTTTTTTTACAAAAAATGTTACTATAGCCGTATATATAAAATGATATATAACTGCTATCGGACGATCTTGTGCACGATAAAAACCTATATAGAACTTTAAGTTGGAAGTGTAGAAATCGTATGGCATACATTTTTTTCCGGATTTCATCGTTCTAGGGTGTGTACTACAACAACAAACTTTTTTTTCCAAAAAATGTTATTATGGCCGTATATATAAAATGATATATAACTGCTATCGGACGATCTTGTGCACGATAAAAACCTATATAGAACTTTAAGTTGGAAGTGTGGAAATCGGATGGCATACATTTTTTTCCGGATTTCATCGTTCTAGGGTGTGTACTACAACAACAAACTTTTTTTTTACAAAAAATGTTACTATAGCCGTATATATAAAATGATATATAACTGCTATCGGACGATCTTGTGCACGATAAAAACCTATATAGAACTTTAAGTCAGAAGTGTAGAAATCGGATGACATACATTTTTTTCCGGATTTCATCGTTCTAGGGTGTGCACTACAACAACAAACTTTTTTTTTACAAAAAATGTTACTATAGCCGTATATATAAAATGATATATAACTGCTATCGGACGATCTTGTGCACGATAAAAACCTATATAGAACTTTAAGTTGGAAGTGTAGAAATCGGATGGCATACATTTTTTTCCGGATTTCATCGTTCTAGAGTGTGTACTACAACAACAAACTTTTTTTTTACAAAAAATGTTACTATAGCCGTATATATAAAATGATATATAACTGCTATCGGACGATCTTGTGCACGATAAAAACCTATATAGAACTTTAAGTTGGAAGTGTAGAAACCGGATGGCATACATTTTTTTCCGGATTTCATCGTTCTAGGGTGTGTACTACAACAACAAACTTTTCTTTTACAAAAAATGTTACTATAGCCGTATATATAAAATGATATATAACTGCTATCGGACGATCTTGTGCACGATAAAAACCTATATAGAACTTTAAGTTGGAAGTGTAGAAATCGGATGGCATACATTTTTTTCCGGATTTCATCGTTCTAGGGTGTGTACTACAACAACAAACTTTTTTTTACAAAAAATGTTACTATAGCCGTATATATAAAATGATATATAACTGCTATCGGACGATCTTGTGCACGACAAAAACCTATATAGAACTTTAAGTTGGAAGTGTAGAAATCGGATGACATACATTTTTTTCCGGATTTCATCGTTCTAGGGTGTGTACTGCAACAACAAACTTTTTTTTTACAAAAAATGTTAATATGGCCGTATATACAAAATGATATATAACTGCTATCGGACGATCTTGTGCACGATAAAAACTTATATAGAACTTTAAGTTGGAAGTGTGGAAATCGGATGGCATACATTTTTTTCCGGATTTCATCGTTCTAGGGTGTGTACTACAACAACAAACTTTTTTTTGACAAAAAATGTTATTATGGAAGTATATATAAAATGATATATAACTGCTATCGGACGATCTTGTGCACGATAAAAACCTATATAGAACTTTAAGTTGGAAGTGTAGAAATCGGATGGCATACATTTTTTTCCGGATTTCATCGTTCTAGGATGTGTACTACAACAACAAACTTTTTTTTACATAGTTTTATTATGGAAATATATAGAAAATTATATATAGCTTTAAGTTGGAAGTGTAGAAATCGGATGGCATATATTTTTTTCCGGATTTCATCGTGCTAGGGTGTGTACTACAACAACAAACTTTTTTTTTACAAAAAATTTTATTATGGAAGTATATAGAAAATTATATATAACTACTATCGGACGATCTTGTGCACGATAAAATCCTATATAGAACTTTAAGTTGGAAATATACAAATCGGATGGCATAATTTGTTTTGTGGATTTCATCGTTCTAGGGTGTGTACTACAGCAACAAACTTTTTTTACAAAAAATGTGACTATATCCGTATATAGAAAATTATATATAACTGCTATCGGAAGATCTTGTGCACGATAAAAACATATATAGAACTTTAAGTTGGAAGTGTAGAAATCGGATGGCATAATCTGTTTGAGATTTTAGGTAGGGCCAGTTATGAGTGGTAGTAATTTCCCGAGGAGGACCTTATATCGGGGATAGGTTAAATTATGGACCGATCCCCTTAAATTTGACAAAACTATGTTGACTCCTTGTTTATGTGGAATTTCTTTGCGATATTGGTATTTTTATTACAATTATTGGAGTTAATATCTTTTTCTGAAGGGGAACTTATATGGGGGTAGGGTCAATTTTGAACCAACCCAGAAAGGTTTTGGATCATATAAATCTTGTAAAATAATTTCCTGATCCTCATAAAATTTGGCAAAAAGATTTTAATTCCTATAAAACTTGTTTTTGTCGTTCTTCTTCGCTATACTCGAATATTGAAGCTCAATAATAAACTCCATCAACTAAAAATATTTTTTGCAAATATTGGCTAAGATCCTAGTCTATACTTTTATGGATTTTAGACCAATATTTCGGTGTAAAAGTTCCTTGGCTCCCTGATGAGTTTATCGTATACCGATATTGTCCATTTTCAATAACAAACTCAATCTTAGAATGTAATAAGATCCCAGCATATACTTTTATGGATATTAGACCAATATTTCAATGTGTTACAAACGGTGTAAAATGTTCCTTGACTCCCTGATGGGTTGTGTCTTCCAAGTGGTGATTTAGCGATCTTGAAAGTGACGGAACTAATAGGGAATCACATTGTTCGCCGGTCTCTGGTAAGATTTTAGGTTGATAGTCATGCTGCACTTAAAGCATTAATATGTCATAGCTGTATTCTTGCATAGTCGTAGAATGAAGAAAAGATCTAAGTATTATTATGAGACCGTTTACAATAAGGCTGTGTTGGGTACCAGGACCCTGCAATATACACAAATGAGGTATCTGGCGAACTGATACGATGAGGCTCGAATCTTGTCCCATATGAACGGAACAAGAAGTTAAAGCCACCCCTTTTTCATTTTTTAGGTTGATCTCCGATGGATTCCGTGACTCTTTCAACCAGTCATGGAATATAGAATGAATCGCACATTATATATGGCCGTTTTAAAAATACTTGATTCTAATGAAACCGGGATTATTATTGGGGTAGATGGTGTACACCAAGAACACTTGCACTGGCTATAAAACATTATTAAAATACATAAATTTTTCTTAGCACAAAATAAATATGTCTAGTAATTTGTTTTTGTTTCATTTGTTTACGTTTTTACAGAAACTCACCACACAACAATCAAAAACAGCTGTTAGGGTTTGCTGTTTTATCAAAAGGTTGTTTTATTAACGGGTATACTTTTATTGTATTTAAAACCCCGAAAATAATTTATATTTTACAAACGAAAAAAAATATTTTTTATTCTTTGACATTTCATTTTAATTAAAACTGAAAAAAGAAAAGTTGTAAATTTTCGTATTGAAAATGAAAAAAGTATTTCACATACATTTTTTCTTTTTCCATTAGTGCAGAAAAAAATAACAAAAAGACGTGTTTATAATATGTTTTAAGATGAAATATCTTCTGAAAAAAATTAATTAACTATTATTTTCATTCACTAGTATATAAAATCCCAGTAATAACATACAAAAAATAACGTATCAGAAATACATTTATTATTTAGTACCTTTTGAACAACTGTGTTTATTTTTGTGCTTCTACTAATACATTCTCACCAGTTAGGTTTTTGACAGGGGACTTAGGTCTTTGACAATCCCTTTCGCCTATATGCTACTACATGGCGAAACTAATAAGGTGAAGTCATTTCAACAGCTGATTGTTTTTTTGTCCATGGAAATTTAGCCCGAAGCTGTCAAACTCCATATAAAAAAAATTCTCTCTCAAACCCGACGCTGTCAAACTACATATATAAAAAATTTCATGAATTCGCCGTAAAATGAAATGACTTCACCTTATAGTCTATTCGCCTTGATGCTACTATATGTATCATGGCGAAACAAATAAGGTGAAGTCATTTCAACAGCTGATTGTTTTTTTGTCCATGGAAATTTAGCCCGAAGCTGTCAAGCTCCATATAAAAAAAATTCTCTCTCAAACCCGACGCTGTCAAACTACATATATAAAAAATTTCATGAATTCGCCGCAAAATGAAATGACTTCACCTTATGGTCTAATCGCCTTGATATGTATACAACCATATGTTGTAAAAATGTCGAAAAAATCTACTATCTTGTAATAGAAACTCGAATCATCGATTCTGTGATAAAAGTTAAAAATCGGAAAGATGAAAAAAAGGTTGACAAGTCAAAGGTCAATATGAAAAATGTTAAAAAAAATTATATTTAATTAAGGAACGCATCAATCATAAGGAAATTCATTTATTTTCAAATGTTTCTATCATTTTTCTTTAGTCTTTAGTAGGATTATAAGCAATTTTAATATGATTAAAATGATTAATAACAACCATATGTTGTAAAAATGTCGAAAAAATCTACTATCTTGTAATAGAAACTCGAATCATCGATTCTGTGATAAAAGTTAAAAATCGGAAAGATGAAAAAAAGGTTGACAAGTCAAAGGTCAATATGAAAAATGTTAAAAAAAATTATATTTAATTAAGGAACGCATCAATCATAAGGAAATTCATTTATTTTCAAATGTTTCTATCATTTTTCTTTAGTCTTTAGTAGGATTATAAGCAATTTTTTTGCTCAGTGTGCGTACTTAATGAAAAATACAACCCTGTTCAGTATTCAAAAAAATTCCATCAGTTTGGCAGATGCAAAAAAATACAACAACAAAAGCAGCAGTGCCGCCAACCATCAAAACAAATTTTCAAACAAAAAAAACCATTCCTTTGAAGAATTAACGCACGGAGAGCGCCATTACATTTTCAATATTTATTTTCATAATTATCCACAAAAATGCCGCGCACAAAAGTCTCGAAAAGTTCCAAACGCAATCGGGAGACAACAAATCGTGAAGAAAAAGTAAGAGAATTTGAAAATTCCCTCGATGGCTTTCAAAATACAGTCGACGATAAAATACAGGATATTTTCACTGCTTACGATGATGAAATCAAAATGTTGCTACAGCGTACTCCAAGGGCTTTGCTCAAATTGAAAATGGTGGATGTGTTTTCATTGGTAAGTCTAAAGAATTTGGTATTTTGTGCAAATAACAGTGGGATGTTTATATATTGCTTTGATTTCTTTAATGCTTTGCAGGATTTGGATCGTTTCAGCGATTGGGAACAACAGAAATCCAAAATGTTAAATGCCACTTTACAAAATTCCTCTATAAAACAGTCAACCAGGACGATAAATCCCAACGATGAGGGTGAGTTTCTTTGTGTATATTATTTTAAATAATAATTTGGGTCTTTGGTGTTAAATATATATTTAATGGTTTAGAGGGAATCTTTACAATTTTCTTTGTGATAAGACGCCCATCAACTGGCTTTGGTTTTATTTTATTTCTCATTACTTAAATGTTCACTCTACTGTATTTAATTTATTATACTTTTCCTTGAAACTTTTAACCAATTTCCCAATTGCACCTTTAAAAAAAGAAATATTTTTAAATAACAAACACACACATATCTCATCTTATTGCTACTACTTTTCTTCTGCTCATTTATATGTATTGTAAACAATTATGGCACTTTGACTCATTTGGTAAAGGCTACCTTACAGAGGATAGTTCAACTGGCGGCAGCATTGGTTCAGCCATAGCAAATCCTGCATTTTTGAGTACTTCAAATATGCTAACACAACCTCTGATACAACAACAGTCGGCCCGTTTGCGTACCCCAGGACCATTGAGCTCAGCACGAGCTAGACGTCCTAGACGTAGTCGTTCAGCATGCGGCAATTTGGCTCCTATACCAGCATCAGCTGTCAAATTAAAGCCACAATTAAGTGCTACAGCTGGAGGACATGGACATGGTGCTGCAGAACATCATTCGCGTAGTAAAATGCGCACACCAATGGCCAGTCGCACAAAGGCTCTCAGTGCAGATCGTACAACTAAATTTGATAATCCAAGTTCACCACAATCGCCACCCACATTTTTGCGTTTCCCCAAACCTGGCGAATTGGCCTTGTCAAAATGTGGCAGTCCTTTAGTTACACAAATGTAAGTTTTAAAATAATTTTTTTTTAAAATAATAACATTTTCTTTAAATGTTGTATTTATATATTTTCTTTAGGTTACCAGAAAACATTGCTCACTTGAATATACCATTGCGTAATGGCGTCATTTCTATGCGCCCCAAAAAACTTGCCGATCTACAACCACATATTTTAGAAGACCTTGATCCCACAACTGTGGATCAGCTAAGAACCTTAAAACTTAACATTGATAAAATTGTAAGTATGGTGGACAAAGCGGGATATTAATATGAAGTCAAGCGAGCACCTCTTAAACGAAAGAAGAACTTCTTTTGTAAAACACAACTTTTAGTTTTAATCATTACTTTTCTAAAATATTTTTTTGGCTATAAATTTAAACAAAACTCTATTTTGTAATCATATACATCATACTACCCACCAATGATTCAAGCTATAATTTACAAGTTAGCTGGAAAATCTTATACTAAAACTTTAAAACAAGTAAAATCCTCTTTACACTTATTACAACATTGCCTTTAATCCTGTTTAAAACTTGTTATGAAACCAAGATTTACAGTTGTTTTCCAGCTAATTATTTATTGGCTAATTAATGTATTATTATTTTTTTTTTTGCTATAATATTTTGTAAGTTTGTTGGCAAGTACGTACTACTCTCATCATTTACCCCTATAATCCATTATGCTTTTTACATTACTTACTGTGTGCAAAAGGAGTTAGTTGCCTCCTTTAAATTCTCTCTACCGACATGATTAGACGCTTAATTATTTGTTCCTTTAAAGCGAACATAAATCTAAATTAAATTTTCATGTCGTTTTATTCTCTTTTTTTTAATCTAATGTATTTTGTTGACATCCTTTTTTTTCTTATTTTACTTTTATTTTAATTTTTCTCTTTGTTGGTGTAACTTTATTTTAAGTTTTTCTTTTAAACATATTTTGTATCCAAATCACAAAAGAAAATAGCAAGCAAATACATAAAACAAATATTTCGATTTAGTTTTATATAATTAAATTAATGTAACGTAAGTTAAGTTTTTTTTTATTCAATTTTATAAATAACAAATAAAATATTTCAATTGATCCTAAGTTTTTGGATAATATATTATTTTATTAGTAGTTTTAATTTTGTGCTCAATAAAAGTAGCGATCAAGTAAAATATTTCCTGCAGAAAGAAAACTTATTGCAGTCTCCTACAGAAAGAAAATTTGTTAAGAAGTCTCAAACTGGAAGAAAACATGTTAAGGAGGAAGTACACAACACGCGTTGAGGCGGCAACGCGTTTCACGCTTTATAAGCGGCAAATTACACACCACGCGTCAAGGAACATGTCACCGGAGGAGTCATCCCAACTTTAACATCACACAGTTGGATGCTCCCCCGAGGCATGTCAGGAAGGACCTTCGTGTATACGAAGAGAGCATACGAAGTTATGTTCAGGATCCCTTAGATCGGACTTCGTATACAGCAGCTTTGAACGACATTCATAGAGACGCCATCAATACCGCGGTTTCAGGTTACCGCATGAATGTCGTTCTTGGAGGTCGCCCATAGCAGAAATAGAGAAGAACCTGCCGCGGAAAACAAGAGTTGCTCTGGCACAACTGAGATCGGGATGGAGCAACAGGCTCAACGCCTACTGGTCCCGCATAGACCGTGCCGTCCCCAATATATGCCCATCTTGTGGACAGGGTCCCCATGATACCCACCACATATTCAACTGTCCAGCCCACCCTACTTCACTTAGCCCAATGGATTTATGGACTAACCCTGTTGAAGTAGCCCAATTTCTTGGCTTGGACCTAAATACAGAACCCCCGGATTAAAATTGTATAGTTTAAGCTGTTACAACAACAACGACAACACCACGCGTGATTTTGATCCCTCTTTTAATACTAAGACTATTACTGTATAAAAAAATCAAAATTTTACATTTTTGTTTATTTTTTTAAATATTTGTCTTTCAATGTTGGTGAAATCTATTTCATTTTAGTTTATTTTTATTCTACACAAAACAAACTACAACCCTGATCAGCTGCCGACGCGTCAAAAGTTAAAAGTTGCTGAACTTTTAGCGGCAGACGCGTTACAAACTACAGTGTGTAACTTATTTAATGTAAATAAACTATTACAACTTTTTTGACAGAAGTCTATATATAACGCGGTGCCGCTTACAACGCGTGTTGTGTACTTCCACCTTTAAAGAGTGTTGCACAGAAAGAAAACTTGTTAAAAAGTTTCGTACAGAAAGAAAACTATATAGTTTAAAGAAGTTTCCTATAGAAAAAGGAACATGTTTTAAAGCTTTCTGTAAAAGTATTTTTTACAAAGTTACAAAGTTTTCTGAGGAAAGAAAACTTTGTAAAAGCTTTCATGTACCCAGAAAGGAAGGAAACACCCTTCAAAAAACTTATTTTAAAGCTACTTATACAAAGAAAGTTTGATCAAAAGTTTGCTATTGAAAAAACTGGGTTTAAAGTTTCATAGAGAAGAAATTGTTAAAAACTTACTTATAGAAAGAAGTTTTTTTGTAAATTTTCCCGAATTTTGTTGAAAATTTTCCTATATCTATAAAGAAAACATAAGGAATTTCCGTTAAAATTTTGAATTTCAAATTACACTTCTTTTTAAACAACAATTTTTCATAGTGTAATCAAAAACATTGACAACCAGAGGTCGCTGTTGTAGTACACGTGTTTCTGCACAAACACTCAACTTCACAACTCGCTGTCAAAATCGTCCATTTTTCTAACCTCGTTGTTGAGTCTGGACGTGTTGCTTCAGACCTTGTGTTTTAAATTTTGAAAAATTAAATTTATAAATAAAATCAACCATAAAAATGGCTGATATTGGTAGGTTTTAAAGTTTAAATTATAAATACCATAACTAATTAATAACAATATAAAAATAACTTTAAAGAAAAAGTTTTTAATTAGTGGCACCAATAGTGTCTATATTTGAAACCACGTTTTTTTTTCTTCTGAATTTATGTGAAAATTTTCCACGTTTTTTTCGGTTTTTTTTTCATGCTATAGAAATCAAAAAAGAAAAGAAAAAGAAGAAGATCAAGGAAGAACCCATTGATTTAGATGATATTGGTTCTCTACAGAAATCCGGTAATTTCACTGTTAAACCTTCTGAGAAATCAGCCACTTTGGATACCTCACAATGGCCATTATTGTTGAAGAACTTTGATAAGTTGAATGTACGCACCAACCATTATACACCATTGCCCAGTGGTTCATCACCCTTGAATCGTGACATCAGAGAATACATGAAATCTGGTTTCATTAATTTGGACAAACCCTCCAATCCCAGTTCTCATGAAGTTGTAGCTTGGATTAAGAAAATATTGAAGGTCGAAAAGACTGGTCATTCTGGTACTTTGGATCCTAAAGTTACTGGTAAGTTGTTTATTGGAAAAACATGTTTTTGTGTATACTTTTATAAGGGGACATATTGTTTGGTACGTAGTTAGTATTAGTTTTTAATAAATGATGTTTATTAATTAGTTAGCATTGCGTAGCATCTGTACCTAAGAAAAGATTTTAAAAATTTTGTTTAACATGAAATGGACACATGTTTTGTATCGGAAATAATAGTGCGCGCCAAAAGTTTATACCACATGGCTAGTAAAACTAAATTGTATTTTCGTTTAATATGGCTTATTCTAATTTTAGTGTTCTTTCTATAGAAAACTTTTCAACAAACTCTATCGTATCTATCAACAAATTCTCTATCTATAGGAATCTTCTTAGCAAGAATTGAACTGAAACTGAACTAGAACTGAACTATTACTAAACTAGAACTGAACTAGAACTGCACTAGATCTGAACTAAAACTGGACTAGAACTACTAGAACCGAACTAAAATTTAACAAGAGATGAACTACAATTGAACAATTATTCTTTCTATAGGAGATTTCTCAGCTAGTTTTCTTTCTAAAGGAAACTTTTGAACAAGTTTTCTTTCTATAGGAAACTAAACACAATTTTCATAATTTCCTTTTACACCCCATCTCATAAGCCGACAAGGAAGAGTATATATAACCAGCTCTCTAAGTGACTAGAGATGGGAAAATTAAAACTACTCCGATGTGTGTATGTTTTGAGATAAATTTTCATCTCTTTACAAAGATTATTTCAGAGTACAACTTTTATAAAATAAAGATAAATTTCACTATTTTCTTATAAATATAAATTTAAACTAATAAAATTATTACTCTTATGTTTCCAGGTTGTTTAATTGTTTGCATTGATCGTGCCACACGTTTGGTTAAGTCTCAACAAAGTGCTGGTAAAGAATACGTAGCCATTTTCAAATTGCATTCTCCTGTTGAATCAGTAGCTAAAGTACGTCAAGGTTTGGAAAAATTGCGTGGTGCTCTTTTCCAACGTCCTCCTCTAATTTCTGCTGTTAAACGTCAATTGCGTGTACGTACTGTTTATGACAGTAAATTGTTGGATTACGATGAAACTCGTAATATGGGTAAGTTTTAAGTTTTTATTGTTTTCTTTCTAACTTAACATCAAAAAAAGCATTTGCCATAAAAAAGTTAACATTTTCCTTTAATTTACATCCTGGGATTATGTTACTTTTTTCTAAATCTACTTATTTCTAAACGTAAATTTAATGCAACATAAATTAAAATCATTAGTTTTTGTTTTTAACAAAAACTCGATGTAATACATATCTGTTATTTTTATTTGCTTAAAAATTTGTTTTTCTCTTTTTCCTACCAATATATACATACACATACATATTTATGGCCTTTTTACGAAATGTTGGCCTATATTTTAAATTTAAAATCACTACTCGAAACGAACAAAAATATTGAAAATTTGAAGGTGTTTTTTGGGTTAGTTGTGAGGCTGGTTCTTATATTCGTACCATGTGTGTACATCTTGGTTTGGTACTCGGTGTTGGCGGTCAAATGTTGGAATTGCGTCGTGTCCGTTCTGGCATACAATCGGAACGTGATGGTATGGTAACTATGCACGATGTCTTGGATGCTATGTATTTGTATGAAAATCACAAAGATGAATCTATGTTGAGACGTGTCATTAAACCTTTGGAGGGACTTTTGGTCAATCACAAGAGAATTATCATGAAAGATAGTTCGGTAAGTTTATGCTCTTTTTCTTATAAGATGAAACCTCTGACCCCATGATATAAGCCGGCATGTTGAACGTATTCCAGTTCTTTATGTGACTATGATTGGGAAAATGAAATCTGCTCCGATGTGTGTATGTTATGAAATGATTTTAATCACATTTCTGTACAAAGTAAATTTCAGAGTACAAAAAAATAATGTTCTATTTCAAATTTTAAACTTTTGCATGAACAAAATAACTGAACTAGAACTGAATTAGAACTGAACTAGAACTGAACTAGAATTGAACTAGAACTGAACTAGAACTGAACTAGAATTGAACTAGAATTGAACTAGAATTGAACTGGAACTGAACTAGAACTGAACTAGAACTGAACTAGAACTGAACTAGAAATGAACTAGAACTGAACTAGAACTGAACTAGAACTAGAACTAGAACTGAACTAGAACTGAACTAGAACTGAACTAGAACTGAACTAGAACTGAACTAGAACTGAACTAGAACTGAACTAGAACTGAACTAGAACTGAACTAGAACTGAACTAGAACTGAACTAGAACTGAACTAGAACTGAACTAGAACTGAACTAGAACTGAACTAGAACTGAACTAGAACAGAACTAGAACTGAACTAGTACAGAACTGGAACTAAATTACAACTGAACTAGAACTTTTCTTTTAAAAATAGAAACTCCGAAACCAATTAAATGTTTCCCTCCACGCTTTATTTCCATTTTAGGTCAATGCCATTTGTTATGGTGCCAAAATTATGTTAACCGGTGTCTTACGTTACGAAGATGGTATTGAAATTGATCAAGAAATCGTTATCTGTACCACAAAGGGTGAAGCCATCTGTTTGGCTATTGCTCAAATGACCACAGCAACCATGGCGTCATGTGATCACGGTGTAGTGGCCAAGATTAAGCGTGTCATTATGGAAAGAGATACCTATCCACGCAAATGGGGTTTGGGTCCTAAAGCTTCCGCCAAGAAAGCACTCATTGCTTCTGGCAAATTAGATAAATACGGCAGACCTAATGAAAATACACCCAAGGAATGGTTAACAGGTTTTGTAGACTATAATGCCAAGAAACCGGCTGCTGCTGTAGCCCCACAAGCCAACACCAATGGCAATAACACAGAAGAGGCTAAAAAGGTAATTGCTTAAATCAAATGGTTTATTAAAGGGACAAATTGAATTTAATCTAAAATTTTAAATTTACAGCGTAAATTAAGTGTTTCTAGCCAAGAAGGTGCACCAGCTGCTGCTGCTGAAGAAACCCCTGCCACAGATAAATCCGAAAAGAAGAAGAAAAAGAAACACAAGGCTGATAAAGAGGCCGCTGATGTCTCTGTAGTTGAAGAAGAGACCGTGGCTGAAGCTGAACCCGAGGGAGAAAAGAAAGAAAAGAAAAAGAAGAAGAAAAAGGATAAAGATAGGGAGAAAACTGAATAAGGAATATAGTTTACAAATCCTTACTTGTTAGCAATTTTATATAAGTTCATTTACTACTATAGCTACTACTTCCTCCTTTACAAAATATGAGAAAGAAAAAACAACAATGCATTTTATATAAAGTTTAACATTTTTTAGCTTTTCTTTTTTTTTCCTTTTTGGTTAATATAGAAATTTTATTTCTTATTTAACCGTTTTATTAGTTTTAAGGATTTTATTTTATATACATACATACTTTACTTTGCAAAAAACCACAAAAAACTAAAGTTCAAACTATTATTTTATATAGTTGATGTCATGCTTCAGATTATGTTTATAATTCATAAGAAAACACAGAAAAAAATATAACAAAATAACTATTTTTCTAAATAGAAAATGTATGAAAAAATTACATTATGAAATGGAATTTTGAAGTGTGTTTATTTAAAAAGAAAACTTTTGATAGGGATTTTCAGCTTTCTTCAAGTCTTCTTTCTTTCTTTTGTTTATAAAGGTGAGTGTTTTTTGATTTTTATTTTAAGTTTTACACTTTATTCATAATGAAAACGAGCTGCTTGCTTGCTTGCTAAATTTTTCCCTTAAGGAATTTTACCTACAAAACAGCAGCTCGTTTTCATACTGAATTAGGTCGTAAAAGTTGAAACAACTTTTGTTTCATTTATATGATGATTAATTAACTTTCGCCCCTATCTGAAAGTTTTGGAAACTTCTCATGTTGATTGCGAATGATTGGTCTTACTGAAAAAAGTTTAGATTTTTTAAACACTTTCAATATTAAGTAATATACTAATGTTTTGATTTTTCTTTTTATTCTAATTTTAGCTTAAACAAATGAAGGTTGAGGATCTAGGGGGGCCCTATAAAAGGATTTAAATAGAATTTTTAATTGATATTCTTTAATTACAACCGAAATTGGAGTTTTAAAGGAGGTTCTTAACGGTAAGTTTACTTTTGTTTTTAAATAATTAAACAATTTTTACATTTAACGTGTTCCTATTGACAAATATTGAATGAAAAAAAAGCCTAGAAAGTATATAAAAGTAATGGTTTAGAAAATGTTAAAAATTTTTTAATGAACGGCTAACTGTTAAACAATTTTAAAATTGTTTATTAAAGTTTTATATTGATGTTTTGATACTTTTTCTTAAATATTTGAATAATATGAACACAGTTTTCTTATGATGAACAATACATTAACTTTCGTTCTACAGAAAAATAATGACGAAACGTTTGATTACGTTGTCTTTAACTGAAATTATACAAAAAACATTATATTTTAATAGTAAAATAACATATAATAAGTCTTTTATTAATAACAAAATGTTTTTTCTTTACTTTTAGTTAAAATAATACCAGGAGAAACTGTTTTATAATCATATGATTAAAGGTAAGCAAACAAATTATTCTAAATATTTACCCAATAATTCATAAAGATATCATTGGTTTATTTATGGTTTATTAAGAACTTTTCCTATAGTAGTAAACTGTATTAAACATTTATGAATACGTGATAGTAATTTTTCTTAATATTTAAATGATGAACAATTAACTTTCGCCCCTATCTGAAAGTTTTGGAAACTTCTCATGTTGATTGCGAATGATTGGTCTTACTGACATATTTATTATAATTAAAACTTAAATTATTAGTTTATAAATTGTTTATTAAAGTATTTCTTTACTTTTTCTTTTAATTTTAGTTTGAGAAGTAAACAGGGAATGGAAATATGAGAGGTCTTCAGTCCAAAGTTGTTGCTACTTTTTCTAATCTTTAGGTAAGTTTTGTTTTTATTATAAATTTATCTTAATATCTTTTACAATGATGATTTTTAATCTTAACTTTCGTTCTACTGAAAAAATAATGACGAAACGTTTGTCTTTAACTGAAAATTAATACAAAAATCTTTATTTTTTAAAAGATTTTCAAATATTTGATTATTAATTTAGTGTTTATGTTTTATTGTATTTGCAGTTGATGTGAAAAATTCGCCTAAATAAGAGAAAACTTTAAAAGACTTTTGAAAAGGTAAGAATGCAATAATTGCTGAACTAGAACTGGACAAGAACTGAACTAGAACTGAACTAGAACTGAACTAGAACTGAACTAGAACTGAACTAGAACTGAACTAGAACTGAACTAGAACTGAACTAGAACTGAACTAGAACTGAACTAGAACTGAACTAGAACTGAACTAGAACTGAACTAGAACTGAACTAGAACTGAACTAGAACTGAACTAGAACTGAACTAGAACTGAACTAGAACTGAACTAGAACTGAACTAGAACTGAACTAGAACTGAACTAGAACTGAACTAGAACTAGAACTGAACTAGAACTGAACTAGAACTAGAACTGAACTAGAACTGAACTAGAACTGAACTAGAACTGAACTAGAACTGAACTAGAACTGAACTAGAACTGAACTAGAACTGAACTAGAACTGAACTAGAACTGAACTAGAACTGAACTAGAAATGAACTAGAACTGAACTAGAACTGAACTAGAACTGAACTAGAAATGAACTAGAAATGAACTAGAACTGAACTAGAAATGTACTAGAACTGAACTAGAACAGAACTAGAAATGAACTAGAACTGAACTAGAACTAGAACTGAACTAGAACTGAACTAGAACTGAACTAGAACTGAACTAGAACTGAACTAGAACTGAACTAGAACTGAACCAGAACTGAACTAGAATTGAACTGAACTAAAACTGAACCAGAACTAATCTAATACTAGAACTTAACAAAAACTGAACTAGAACTGAACCAGAACTGAACTAGAACTAATCTAAAACTGAACTAGAACTGAACTGGAAATGATTTGGAACTGAACTTTATATAAAATGGAACTGAACTAGCACTGAATTGGAACTGAACTAGAAATTAATTGGAACTGAACTAGAATGTCTTTTTTCATCAAATATTTGATAGATGTGTTTAATTATATGATGACAAATTAACTTTCGCCCCTATCTGAAAGTTCTGGAAACTTCTCATGTTGATTGCGAATGATTGGTCTTACTGAAATCTTTATAATTTTATTAAAAACTTAAATTATTCAATTTAAAAACTGAATAATAAGAAATTGTTTTCTTTTTTTTTTTTTTTTTTTTTTTTTTTTATTTTAGTTTGAACTACTGCTTCTTCGTTATAGAATTCTCAAAACAATGAGCAAATTTCGATATTCGAAAACTATTGATATTTTCATTTGAATTCTTTAAAATTCTGTTGATGTCAATAAATATCGAAAGGCGTATTTGAGCTGAAGTATAACTGTTTATAAACCAGATTGTAAATATAGCTCAAAATCGTATTCGAATGAGAGTAAAGGTGAGTTTAGAACATAATCTATTTAAAAACCTTTTATAACAGTGATCGGCTCTATGGAACAAAGACAAGTAAAATAACTACAAAATCCTTCAGATCTAAAATCCCAAGTGGGACTCGAACGCGAGCCTGAAAAATATTAAATTAATAACTTCACATCAGACTTCATAATGTAAAATATTTCAAAGTTTTTTACATCAAAAGTTTGTTTCTGCTAAATTATGGTGTCCAGGACGTCTGTGCCATTAAGCCTATTACTGTTTTCTATATAAAATGATGAACAATTACTTAACTTTCGTTCTACAGAAAAATAATGACGAAACGTTTGAATACGTTGTCTCTAACTGAAAATAAATAGAAAACATCTTTTAAATGATAAAACAGTTTAAAAATTTTGTTATTAATTTCCAATATTTTCCTTTATTTTTAGTTAAAATCTATAAAGACGAAAAGTAATAAAGAAAATGTTTAAATGGACTTTTCTCAAAGGTAAGCTAATTAATAATCTAAAATTCGTTAAATTTTATTAAAATCTTTAAATGATGAGCAATTAACTTTCGCCCCTATCTGAAAAAAACTTCTCATGTTGATTGCGAATGATTGGTCTTACTGAATAAATTTTACACTCATTGTCTCATTTTAAGGGTATTTTTTATCATAACGACGATATATTTATATATCTTTTCGATAAACAATATCCATGAGATGAGATAATGAAACTTAACCGTTACTAAATTAAGATCTTTTTCCAATACAAATGAAAATTATTATAATTTTTTTCTTTTTTTATTATAATTTTAGTTTAAAACGTTCGCACTTGCTGCTAAACTTGAAAAACTTTTTAATTATTTTTAGGTAAGTTTTAAACAAATTTATTATAAAAGTATAAATATCCAAGTGATGACAAATAACTTTCGCCCCTAACAGAAAGTTTTGGAAACTTCTCATGTTGAATGCGGAATTGGTCTTACTGAAATATTTATATTAAAAGATTTTTTTAACTTAAAACGAATTGTTATTAAAATTTCCTTTATATCTTTATTTTTAGTTTTAATACAATTAAAAAAAAGGCAAAAAGTTTTCATCCACATCCTCCTCGGTACTGTTTAAGGTAAGTTTATTATCTTATTTGTTAAATTAAGTATAATTGTTATCTGATGACAAATAACTTTCGCCCCTAACAGAAAGTTTTGTAAACTTCTCATGTTGAATGCGGAATTGGTCTTACTGAAACAATTTTTACTAAAAAACAGATTATTCTAACATTTGGATAAACATTTTTAATAATTTTTTTCTTTATTTTTCAATTTTAGCTTAATTACCTATTAGACACTTGCTTCCCGCGGCCCGTTACTATATAAAAATGTTTAAGGTAAGTTTATTTCTCTTATTTTTCTTAAAGAATCAAATAAAATTGTTATCTGATGACAATTAACTTTCGCCCCTAACAGAAAGTTTTGGAAACTTCTCATGTTGAATGCGGAATTGGTCTTACTGAAATAATTTTTACTAAAAAATTAAATGTTCTTAAATAAAATTTAAATAATAACAAAGTTTTTTGTATACTCTTTTCTTTTTAGTTGTTATACTGTTATAGCCTTAAAAAAAGTTGCTGGAAAATTGAATTTATTTGTTTTAAAAGGTAAGTTTAATAGATTGTTTAATTATTGTTCTCCTCGCACTAATAGATTATAAATTTGTAAACCAATTTAATGGTCTACAGATGAAATATTGGTGCTAGATTAAATGTAGGCTTTTCGCTAACATCGTGCCAATTTATAAACCATGGTCGAAGTTTGATAGTAGACGTCTCAACATTTATTTATAATATTTTTTTAAGAATTTAAGGAATTCACAAAATTAGGTTTATTTTAAATCCAGGACACGATGTAAAATCTTAATTATGTTGAACTAAAAACTACCCTTCTCATGACTTTTAATTTTAATCAATATTAATCATCTTGACGTGAACGTGTTAGAGTTTCTGATTATAGCACAAACTAAGTTTTTCCTAGCACTAATAGATTATACATTTGTTAACCATTTTAATGGTCTACGATAGAGATATTGGTGCAAGATTAAATGTAGGCTTTTCGCTAACATCGTGCCAATTTATAAACATGGTCGAAGTTTGATAGTAGACGTCTCAACATTTATAATATTTAAAAAAAAGTTTTTAAGAACTTTTAAGTACTAATAAAGAGTATTCATCTTGACACGATGTGAAGTTATAATGACACATGCAGGTGGAGCTTAGAGGTGCTCAACGCAAGCACGAAGTAAGAACTACCCCTCTGATAATTGGTAGCGTAGGTTTTTCCCCGATGGGTCGGTATTAGTTGCCATCGTAACTGTCAAAATGTTTTCCCTTTTCATTGAGACTGCACATTCTAACAGTGCCGTTTTGGATCCTACAGACCCACTTTAGCCCAACAAAAACGGTTATACAACCATATTCGGCGGCTTGATGGTCTATAATTCTACCTATAGCTATCTTGACGCGATGTGAAGTCAAACACGTTGTGCTTAAAGGGGCTCAGGGCGAGAACGAACTAAGAAAAACCCCTCCTACGACTGGTGACGTCTGGTTTTGCCCGATAGGTCGGCTATCCCTCACCATTGAGAGATAGCCGAATACACATTCTAACAGAGGCAGTATGAGTCTTACAGAACCAGTTTAGTCCAACAAAAACGATCCTGCACCCATATTGGTCAGTTTGGTAGTAACGTGATGTGAAGTCAGAATGACCCATGCAGGTCGAGCTTAAAGGGGCTCAGCGCAAGCACGAACTAAGAACTACCCCTCCCATGACAGGTAGCGTCCTTTTGGGAGCTAGAGTCGCCTTAACTTGTCTTAAAGATTTACACAATTTTAAAAACTTTTTTGTGAATTCCTTTATTCCTTTCTTAAGATGTATGTATACATTTTTTAAATATTTAATTAATGTTTTTTATATTGTTTTTTTTTATAGATTATGCGTGTAAACATTTCAAAAACTTTCGCACAGATGACAACATATAAAAAGAGGTAAGTCAAGTCCCGATTTCTTACTACTTTGTGTAGAAATGTTATGAAATAAAAATGAATAGAAAACAACAAAATTAACAAACAAATATAGCAAAAACATAGTTTTCATTTTAGCATTAGAATTCATATAAAATTTAGAACTTTGATATAAAGATTGAATTTTCGAGCATATCAAAAATATCTATGTTCGAAATTAACAAAATTTAAGAAATTGGTCTCTAATGAAGCTTAAATTGTATTTTTATGAATCCCCTTGATTTAGAGTTTATTTCAACATTTTCAAAAATTTTTCGAACATAAGTTCGAATTTTCGAACATGCCTTGAAAAGCTTACATTTTAAGGGTCTTATTCATAAACTTTTATCAAAGGTTTGTAAATCAAATTTTCAAACAAAATTTGTTCTATAAACCTTAGATAAATGTTTATGAATACGGCAGTAAAACTACATCGAAATTATAGTAAAATTTATGAACATCTTAATATTATTTTTCTATGTTCGAAATTGGAAAAAGTATGAAAATAGGCCACAAATGAAGTTAAAATTATATTTTTATCAATCCTCATGATTTAGAGATTATTTCAAGAGCTTTAAAACATTTTCGAACATAAATACGAATTTTCGAGCATTTCATAAAAAGCTTTTTTTACACTCCATTGAAAATTCGTAAAAATTTATGAAAATTTCAAAATTTCCAAGTTCGAAATTGCTTACAAAATGAAATTAACATCATATTCTTATAGATTCTCCTGCCTGGGAGATTATTATAAGAGTTTTAAAATCCTTTCGAACATAAGTTCGAATTTTTCAAAATTGTTTAATAATTCTCATTATTAAGATAGTATTTTAACAGATTTCAAAATAATTTGAATATAGCTTTATTATGACAAATAACAGAATTAGTTAGCTCTTGTTTTTAAGTGATGACAATTAACTTTCGCCCCTAACAGAAAGTTTTGGAAACTTTTCATGTTGAATGCGGAATTGGTCTTACTGATAATTTTAAAAAAATAATAAAATTTGAATAGAAATATTTCATATTTACTAAATAGAACAACTATTTATGTCTATTTTTAGATTTCATCAATTGAGTAATGAAAACTTTTGAAGTGTGGACTTTTGCTAACCCCCAACATCCATAAAAGACACCGAAAATATCCTCCTAAAACCTAAAAGGTAAGTTTCATTTCAGTATTCAAACATTCCGCCGAATTATCACATTTTTGATCAATATCAAACACGAACGAAATCATTCGATCAAGAATGCTGTAATACATCTCGTAAATTTTAGTGTTACATATTTTAAATGTTAACTGATGATAAAGGGAATCTGATTATGTGGCATGATTTCACATTAAAACCGCAACAACGCAACCCGATTCATAATAGGTCCTGCTGAATATTTAAAATATTAAAATATATTTCAAAATACAATATCTAAAATTCAACTTAGTTTAACTGTAATTTTTTTTTAATCTTTACAGCTAATAATCGAAGATAACTTACGGTCCTTCCCTTAAGGAAAACACATATTCAGAAGTTACCCTCTAAATGCCAAGGTAAGATTTATTTACATTTTTAAACATATTGCCTCATTCCTGATCGATATTCAAAGCTTATTCGATCGCGAATACGATCGTAATTTGTAGTTCAAATGTTAACTGATGATAAAGGGAATCTGATTATGTGGCATGATTTCACATTAAAACCGCAACAACGCAACCCGATTCATAATAGGTCCTGCTGATAACATTTTATACTACAAATTTTATTTAAAAAAATGATTCGTTTACGAAAATATTTGCTTTAATATAAAATTTTCTGTTTATTTGTCTTTACAGGAAAATTTCTTTTGAAAAAAACACTTATTTTTGGTGATCGTAGCTATAAAAAGGTAAGAATTCGTTTAATTTCATATATATTATCATACTTTCCTTTAAAAATTTTACTGATGATAAAGGGAATCTGATTATGTGGCATGATTTCACATTAAAACCGCAACAACGCAACCCGATTCATAATAGGTCCTGCTGATATATTTTTTAAATTATACACTTGTATGGTTTTTAGTAAAATTTTAAAGAGAACAAAAGTGATTTAAAAGAAAAATAACTTTTTCTTAATCCGTTATTTAAAAAGTAGCATAATATCACTGAGTTTCAGAACCGAGCAGTTTAGGGGTTGAGAGTTCGATTCTCAACAGAGAATAAGATCTAGAAACGAATTATATAGGACCTGTTACACAATTCTAATTGATTATTTTAAATTCATTGCTTGTTATTATATATGGAAGCAATTCCACTGAAAATTCAGAAATCGACATGTAATTGTTTAATTTTGGTCTAATTCTTATCAGTGAACCATGTTTTAATTCACTACAATCTTTGCGAATGTACTTTAACGTTAATTTTTTGTTCACTTTAAAATTTAGTAAAACCATACATGTATTTTATAATTTTATTGTATAAATTTTCTTTTTAATTTATAATAAAACTAATTTATGCTTTTTCTTCTTCTCTTTTTAGGTAAGACTGATTTATATAACATTTACTTTGCGTTACAAATTAAACTTATAAGAAAAAACAAAAATAAAATAATTAATAAAGAAATTCCCACAAAAATCTAATGTTTTTTTAATATTTAATAAATAAATTCGAAACTTACATCCTTAACAACAAAGATTTTCTTTAAAATTAAAGCCGCCACGTGTTATTTGTCAATAAACGCATGGCATTTCCGTTAAATGGCGCGAAAAAGCACAATCTAGTTGTCTCTTTCCTAAAATGTTTCATTGCCATATAGTTGCGGCTTTATAGAGTTGCCAGCCTTTAACTAACAAATTCTAGACGGCAGAAATGTCGAAAGTTTAAACTAAACGATAAACTAAAGGGATTTAAAGTTTAAAAATAAACTCTTATCTTTCATTGTTTAAGTAAACAAACCCAACTGCTTGCTTGTTTTTATCTGTTCTGTTTTCATTGCAACAAATGCATTTGTTTTAAATTTTCTTTCCCCTTACAAGGTCATTATTCTATATTCACCACATTTCATTTACCACTATGTTTCTGTATATGCAATGTTCACTTTTCTCTCTCTCTCTGTCTCCTATTCTCTTGTTTTTATTTTCTGGTCTGTTATGAAAGCAAATGTCAAGTGAATTAATCGAAGTTTTGTTGACACATAAAATTCTATCGTGTGTGCAAATTGTTTAACTAAAACTTTGAAAAAAGGTTAAATATTCCTTGAAACTGTAAATTAATAAAGAATTTATGTTAAATTCTTTGCAACAAACCAAATGTATAACGCGGTAAGCTATTTTTTATTGTAAGAAATTAATTAAGAAAATTTGTCGGCAGCCAACAAGGGTAGGGTTTTTTATATCAAAGAAAAAACTAGTGTATAGTATTATTAAATTAAGTGTGTATAATAAGTCGTTGGTGTTTTTTTTTTTTTTTGCAAAGCTATTTTTTTTCATGTGTATCTATTTTCCAACTTCGTGGCGGCGGTAGACATTTTGTTTTTTGTGCTCTTCTTTCTACAAGTGATCTGCGGAAGTACAGTTTTCTATTTAGTTAAAATTTAGCTAATTTCTTTTAAAACTTGCTTTCTACCTTGTTAAGAATTATTTTCACTAAATGATGTCATTATTTTAGTCATTTATTTATTTTTATCCATAAATGTTTTTTAAAACTTTCTGCAAAAACACTAATTTGTGATTGATATTTTATATCGTTTTTAGTAAAATTAACTTTTTCGTATAAAAAATTTGTTATTTTTGTAAAATAAACAATTTAAAATAATGGTCAATGTCCTGCGCATTAAATATTTGTCTGGATTTTTTAGCTTTTCATGCAAGAGCCCATTTTCGTTCGTCTTATCAATATCTTTCGTATGTTTTTGTTATACATGACCACAGTATTGGTCATAGAATTAGAGATGGTGTGTATTTGCAGATACTTTGATTTTTATTTAAGTTATAGACATAAACCACTTCTTTTGATGGAATTCCACGTGTTTTAAAGTTTTGATATTAAGCAGCAGACCATGCAACTTTGCCAACATTGCAACAATTCGTTGTCGCAATCTAAACTTTATTAACTTTTATACAACGGATGTCCCTCTGTGTATATCTTCAAAAACTTCTTACATTTTATAAGAAAATAAATCTAAAAACGAGAGTATTGTCATTATTGCCGACGTTTAATTATGGGCCCATGGCGTTTTGAAAGCTTTCGGTTCTGTTACATCATTTAAAGATCAGTACCGTTCCGTGATGAATCAGCTGATTACTCGCAGTATTGTAATGTATACTTTTTTTTTGGATTTATTTGATATTTTATATTGCCGGGTTATCACACGTGTGTCCGTAGAAACCCTACCAAACGACCTATACCTTCATATAGGATGTTGGAGCACCGAGCTTAGATAAATCAAAAGTATTATTTGGTCTCCACCAGAATTAAGTTTAAGAGTTCTAATGGTCTCCATCAGGTTATATCGGGAGTATATCCTCACTCTGAAGTAAAACGAAAGCACGCCTTTGAAGCAAACAAGATATAACTTGAAAACAGTTATACGAAGAATATACATTAAATTAGAGCGAGTGAGACGCAACAAACACAAGCCTGGATCGTATTTAAAAAATAATGGCGATGAAGCGAGAGTTCTTCCCCAACTTTGACCTGAATCACGACTGTAATGTATGTGATCTAAATTATAATTTGTTAGCATTAGCCGCATGCTCAAAGTGAGGTTAAGTTTTGCCGGATGGAAACCATAATTCACAATAGTAATTTAGAGCAAGTATTAAGTAATTCCAGTTGTGGTGTGAATATACTAAAAGTATTACGTATGGATTTTGCAATTATTAAATCACAAAAGGGAACCAAGCGTGAAATTTGAGTGTTTTTTACTGTTAAGAAATCCGCCGCATTTCATCACAAATTCACAATAGTTTGGAAAGAAAACCAGGTAATGGGCGAAAAACTGCTGTTTGCTAAGATCACCAGATAATAAAATTATAAAAATTAATGCACCAAAGTACGGCAGCCAACTAAATAGTAAATACTTTGACTTTAAATTATCGCTTAATTACCGTTGCTGAGATAAGCAAAAATATCGTTACGAGTATAAACCAAATAGTTATTGCAAAAGTACATATTTTTACAAAAAAAAAAAAAAAAACTTGATGGCTTTAGAGTTTGCTATAAATAAGAGCAGTAATACGGACATTATCTCCACATAATTTTTCAATTTGTTTCTATAACTACTACCAACACTGTATCTTATTTATTGTGAGCATATACATATGTATGTACTTTATTTACGAACTGTCAAATGAAAGATTGCAACTAGGTTTTGCTTATTTAACAAGAAAAGTAAATTCCATTGTGTTAAACAGGTATTTAAGGTTAATTTAATAATTTCTGTTTATTAAAAACTTTCTTTATAAAAAGCTAAAATCTATATAATTCTTAATGATCGAATATATTTGTTTATAAATTGTGTTTTATATAAATTTATCAAAATATCCACGAAATGTGCATCTTCGCAAATGAAGCAGAATTTTTGTAGCAAGTTAAACGATAAGTGGTTTTTCAACTGAATGTTTTTTCGGACGAAGATTCTGTGATTCTCACCAAATTTTAAAGTTGGGTTATGTCAGCACATGTTTATATAAATTTCGATATAAACAAAACTTGAGGATGTAAAAAAATAGAACATTTCAGTGTTGCCACTTCACGTATGTATGTTTAAAGTGCAATTTATGGGAGGAACTCTACGCTGATTTAAAATTCAACTGTATATTTACGGAAACATTTTTGTATAGTTTATATCTAAAAATTTAAAAGACGAGAAAAGTTCCTCTAAATTTTACTCCTGATCGATACCTTGGAACAATACTAAGCTAAGAAAAAAAACTGTTTTTATCAGCTCTATTCCCAATAACTATTTACTGGAAATATTTATTCAGAATAGACCTTTATAGATGTATATTGCGTACGTAATTTTGTAAATTGACTTAGCATATCGATACGACACTCGGGAGTGGTCGAAATTTAAATTATGTTTATATTTCGAACGAAGTAATGTTTCTCCAGATCTTAATACGCAGAAAAAAGTTTCAGCATAAATATTATGAACGGCTTTCATTGACTAAAGTTAATAATATTTAAGAATAAGTTCCTAAATTGTATGAATTTTTTCATTTTTATATTTTTAAACATAATCTAGAAGCCTTGACTTAAAATATTAAAAATTTTCTTATAAAAAAATTTTCTTAGGAAAATTTTTTATTTCTTTATGATTTTTAGAATGAAAACAATGAAATATGCGCGTAACATGCAAAATTTTCTGAAGAATGGATGTCTAGCTGTATTTGATTTTTATTTCATAATTTGTTTTCCAATATTTTATTTATTTATCATAAAAATTCGCTAATATGTGGTATTTTCTAAGAAATATGGAAGATATTAATAGATAACGGATATTTATTGCAATTTTTTATAAAAATCGAAGAAAATTAGTAAAAAAACAAAAAAAAATCGTTCATGTACAAATTCATACATTTTATGAACTTTTAATATTCTGAATGAAAATGGTTTGGGAAAAAAAGTCATGTTCGATTCATACAATTTATTACAAAATTCTTTCCAGTTATGTATTATTTTTTTCTGTGTAAGTAATTTATTATTATTAACAAACATTGAAACATATTTTCAAACTGTTTTTGATAGCTTATTATGAAAAAAGCTATTAAAGAACACACGTCAATATTGAGATAATGTGCAATTCCACTATTGTTTAAAAAAATTCTTTTAACAAAACCTAAAGTAATGCAATTTTTGTTATTGTGTTTTTCTTATTGGCAACATCGAAATTTTTGAATGTTTCTTCAAGTACTAGTGTTACCAACTAAAATGTTTAGCAAAACCCCTAAAATTACGACACAATTTGTATTATATGTTTTGTACAATATCGTTCTCGGTAGTTTAATCTGTATGATAAAAGTAAAAACCTATTTTTTACAATTTTCATTGAGTACTAATTTTTCATTCACAATGTCACAATTCATAGAAAACAAGAGTATTTGCTATAAAAATTAACACAACTGTGAGTGTTACATTAAAAACTGTAAAACTTAAGAATGTAAATTAATTAAAAACTAAAATTTGATTATTTAAAATCTTCAAAATGCATTTTTCTTAAATTTTATTTACATATGTTTACGGCTCAGCTGTTCACATCCTGACATTTCTTGGTTAAGTTTAATCCACCTTCATTGGTGGCTTAAACTAGCAAATAAAGTTCACTAATCGGGTACACAAAAACTTTTTTCGACTAAGATTTAATTGCTAATCTTTAACCTAATAATTGGCCCTAAATGTTACCAATTTTAAAATTATAAATTTAAGATTTCTCGATAGCTTACAATTATTGATTAGCAGAAAATAGATTAATCCCCGTTTTTCAATGTCTTGTTATTTTTTTTTTATCAAAACGATATTTTGACAGTTTTCATACAAAAAACATTTTAACCGGCAGAATACCTACCGGTTAAACAATAACCGGAGAATGAGATTATGGACTTTTTTTAGTCCTTTATTATTATTATTATTTGCTTCATGTTACTTTACAGGAACTTGTAAGATATTCAGAAGCCTTTGCTCCATAAACGCACAAGTTTTATAAAACTTGGAGAACTGCTCCCGACTACGTAGTTTTTCAAAAATATCTCATAGAGACATACGAACACGAAATATGTACAATTACACAGGTCAACCGGCCGTTGCATTTCTCCGCCACATCAGATTTTCCAGATATCCTGTTTAAAAGATGGAAAAAATCCCATTTTTGGCCATATTCTAGGTGTAATAGTAGTTGAAAGACCTCATTTTCGACTTTAAAATAATATATCTTCTCCCTTATTCGAGATATACTATAACTGTTACTATGTCTCAAATAGTGACAAAAAAGTGTTTTTTGATTCTGCAGTGATTGTTGATTATATAAGCTTTGAAAACAGAATTTGGTTCTGTGAGATTGATTCAATTCTATAGTATATAACGTTTTAAACCAAAAAAAAAATCTATTATTTTTAACATTTTAATTAAAATAGTTGTTTGTTTTGACTAAAAATATTTTCTACTAATGCGCTTTTTTTATAAAAAAAATAATACAAAATCAGAAACAAAGAATATTTTTGATTGCACCTAACCTCAAAAAATAGTGAATTGCAAAAATAAAGCACATGCTTTATAAAGCACATGCTTTATTTCTTACCAAACACCACCATAAACAGCTGTTTTACCAGTGTTTATCACTAAGGCACACAAAAATTACACAAATCTATTCACAAAACATGTTAAACACAAACAAAATGCCGCCGGTTTTTTACTCAACATTTTAACAGTGATACATTCTGTAGCACACACACACATTCGCTTACTATAAACAAAAATTATGCTTTTCACCAGTGTAAACAAAAAACATGTGATTAATTAACCAAACTCCCGCTCAAAAGGAAAAACTCAACGTTTCATATAACATCCACCACATTTCTCTCACAACAACTGATTTTTGTTTTGACAGTCATTTTTGTTTAAGGGGGAACAGAATAAAACAAGAAACACAAGTATAATAAACGTCAAGCAAAAGATTTGCGATCATACATCAGTAAATTTTTTCATTTATTTTTACAATTTTTTAAGGCGAAACAAGAAGTTTTAAATTAAAAAAATGTGTGAAAAATGCAATTGAAGTGTGAGGAAATAGTTTAATTAAAAATTTAAAGTGAAAATGTATTTGTAAATATGATTTTTTAATAAAAAAAAAAAAAACTGAAGTAGTTCTATAGTGTTTGCGGCGGAGCATTTGCACACATACACACGCACACATAATACCACATATACACGCCATTTGCAAAGTGGGTGTTTGTTGTTGTTGTTGTCGTTCTTATTGTTGTTGTATTATATATCCCTGCTTCATTTGAAATACACACAGAATGTTGTTGTGTGGTGTATTATTTATTTTTAAATGAGATATTTTTTCCTGTGGAAAATTAAACTAAACGAATTTGATGTTTGTTAAATGAGAAACAAATATTAGAATATTTAAAATATTAAGGTAAGAATGTTTGCATTTTATTTCTTAAGATATTTCCTGGTTTAAGTGCTGTGTTTTGAAAGATTTCTATTCCAAAAGAATCGATGAATCTGCTAGTTTAATATAGTGGTGTGTATGTATCTAAAGTTTGAAAACAGTGTTGCCAAATGTTTATAATTTAGCGTTTTTTGCCAAAAAACGGAAATGAAACAAAAAGGTGAAATTTTAAATGGAATCGGAAAATTTATAAAAAAAATTAGTTAATTATTTAAATAATTTTATGTAAATTAGTTATAGTCGAATTATGTGATAAAAATTATAATGTTTAAAGCGACAATAAACATTTATACTCAAAGGCTACATCGGTTGTATTTTAATATGCATAAATTTCTATCAAAATTTGCGTTAATGCATATTCAAGATTTTGGCATTTTTATTCAGGTCTGTAAAGTATTCCGATACTAAAGGCCACACTACAGTCGATACTATAGTCGCACCGTAATCAACGCTATACATAGTTGATCCTATTGAAAACTCTATAGTAGATATTATAGTCACAGTAGATATTATAGTCGACACAGTTGTCTACTATATAGGCGACACTGAAGTCTACTATATAGTCGATACTAGTCGGCGTTATAGTCTATTCTATTGAAACTCTACAGTCAACACTGTAGTCGACAGAGAAATCTACTCTATAGTCGACTATTACAAATGATTACAAATGTAATAATTTTTTTTCATTCCTTTCCTTTATAGACCAACACCTGCCACAATTAGTCGAAAATTGAAAACAATGATTAGACTAACAGAAAATGACTGGCGAATATTTCGCCGCCTACAGCGGAAGCATAAAGTCTCCACCGAATTTCTGCGATATAACTTGGAAAATATCGAAAAGTTCATATGGTTTGAAACCTGGCCACGCATAGTTATTAAACGTTATGCGGTACGCAAAGAAAATCGTGTATTCATAATATACTATCGCTTAAGGCGTGTACTATTCGATCAGTCGAATCGTAAAATGTTTAAGCGTATGCGACAGAACATCAAACAGTGGTCTAAACGTATAGTGGCTTGGCAAAAAACTCATTTAGGCATTAAAGAATACGTTGAAGAAGTGGTCTACGAAGAGGTGTCGGAAAGACAGAAAAAAGAAGAAACTGTTAAGGCAGCAAGTGCCGAACAAACATCAAGTGGCAGCAGTGAAGATGTTAGCAAACAATTGAAACAACAATTGGAATTATTAAAAAATGGCAGGAGACATCAGCCATTAATTACAAGCAATTCTCAGCCAATAGAAACTGCTACAAATGAGGAGTCAGAGAACGATGAAGAGATCAACAAAGTAGAGAAACAAAAGTCTGATAGGAATAGTGTAGATGATGTTAGGAAAAAATTAAAAGAACAGTTAGATAGTTTAAAAGCTCGAAGAGATGGAACTAACTCCTCCTTAGATATAATGAAGTCAAATGCGACTAGTGACCGAGAAGAACCGCTTGATGATTCAGCAACTATAGAAACTTCAAGAGATTGGCAAATTAACTTGGAATCTACTCCCGAGAAGCAAATAACTACCCAGGAAAATATACAACCTGTGAAACAGCTGGACACTGATGAAAAAACTGAAAAATCTCACACAGAAATCAGTACACAACAAACTGGTAAACTGGTAAAGACTGGTTTAAATTTCTTAGACATGCTTATGTGCAAAGTTAGTGGCAGTAGCATTAACACAACCACTCAAACCAGCAATTCATCAGCCATAAAGGCAAAAGAAAGTCTAGCGAGAATGCCATCATGTAGTTCACTCAAAGAGGGTTATCAACATCATCATGAACATTCTATGGATTCAACGGATGAATTTTTAGGTTTTGATGACTGTGAACGTATACCCGGTATGCTGATGACCCCTATAGTACCACATTCCACTAAGAACAACAAAAACTCGGCGTTCGTAAGCGAATCCTTGAACGAGTACATGCGTGTCAATGATTTGGAAACTAACTATAGTATTGATGAAGACAAATCGGTAATAAAGAGTAAAATATATGCCAGAGATATGGAGGGACTGATGACACCCAAAACTATACCTCCACCCTTTGACATGCCGGCTGTGCCAGACAATTTACTCAAGTTTCGTACGGTGGCCGAGAGGAAACAATATTTGCAAAAGTTTTCGAAAAATTATCGCTTGGCCATCATTAACAATGAGGCTAGCATTTATAGGGAATTGCAGAGGAGAATGCGCACCCAAAAGGTGAAGAGTGCCAGTCAAATTGTGGCCCAGTCAACAAACTCTTCTATGTCCTTTACACGCAACGGCTGGAATGCAGCTTCTTTCATAAACACTGAATTTAATAAATACTATTATCAAATTTTAGATGTTGATCACGGCTCTTACAAAGTGCGCCTTAGGGGAGCACGTGGCAATAATGAAGAATTTCATAAGACCCCTTATGTTAGCCGTGCCATTAAACCGCCCAAAGAATGTCCTGAACATTGTGCAGATGATAGGGTTTGGCAATATTTGAAGCCCATCAAGACGGTAGCAGAAAAAACGAAAAAACTCAACAAGGATCCCCTGCCGGCTGTATTTAAACCCTGTCCCTTGTCCCATAAGACCTTCCAGAAACCTTTAGATGATGATACGGCAGCTTTGCTTTTGGCCGGTGGCAGTATGGCTGTGGTTCGTATGCCCACTGTTGAATTAGAAGTTTTTCCTGAGTATGGCAAACCTTTACATGAAATAGCCAAACGTTATTTACAATATATTTTGCCTCATCATGATATTTCCAGAGAATGGGCGGAATTTAGTGTTTCGACACTGCAACAACCCAAATCGCTTAAAGAAGTGGAACAAGCAGCGGCCAAGACTTTCACTACGCCAGACTTGAGAAAATCCTATACGTTTGTAATACCATATCTCAACGATCGTAATCATATATTGGTACGACGTGTTGTTGATCGTTCGGAGAAGTTAGATCAATCGTTTGAAAAATGTTTGGAAGATAGAGAATTGGTGCCAAAAACTGATTTTTCTTTTCGTCAAAACTTGGATCAAACTGATGATGTACTTTTAGAATGTGCCGATGTGGTTAGCGATATGATTAATACCGTGGCCATAAGTTGTAGTGAGAACTCTTTTATTAAAACTGATCCAGATGGTGTGAACAATGGCGAAGCTGTAAATAGTTTAAGGAAAACCAATAACAAACCGGATTCCAATCATTTTGAAAGACCAGCAACAGTTGCTTCAGCAGCAGCAGTAGCCGGTAATATGAAAAAGCATAAGAAACAAAATAGTTTATTGTAAGTTTGTAATTTAATAATCTCAAGAAGATTTTAATCTAATTAAAAAAACTTTTTAGATTGGAACTTAAACGTCTTAATGCCACCATTATAGATGCAGCCGTTAAACCCGGAAATGGTAAGTTTAAAAAAAGTTAAGGTTAAGTTTAAATTTTGCAATTTTTTTAACGAATTTTCTAGATAAAAAACCTTGTTCCAAAGAGTATTGTCAAATGGGTTGTATTTGTGTAAGTCTGGAAGAAACAGCACCAATGCGTGAACACTGCGGTAAGACAAAATGCATGTTGGAGTGTACTTGCAAGTCAACAGCTCAATCACGTATAATGCGTCTCGAGACAGATGTGAGTAAAGAATAAATATTATAGGTAAAAGCTCTTTTATTGAATTTTCTTCTCAGGGTCGTACACTTACCACTGAGGATGCCTTTATGTTGCGCCGCAAAGCCACCGCCCGTTTAGCACGCATGGAAAAGGAATTTACCTCTACGGTGGTACTCACAGAAAATGAAACTCTACTCATTAATGAAACAAACAATGATAAAAAACGACGCTGTACTAAAACACCCAAACGCTATGAAGATTTCACCGACACCGAAGATGAACAGCGTAGAAATTCACCGAAAAAGGCTGCCTTAACAACCATAGACAATGAAAAACATTTAGCCATAGAAATCAAAGAAGTACACGAACCGGTCTATGTTAAGGATTCCATTTTAGAACAATTAAAACATTGTACGGTTAATTTAGTGCCATTACAAGAAATGGATAATATAGCCCCCTGGTGTATGGTGCATAATTTATATAAATGTTTCTGCAAAGGTCGTGCAGTGGAGGGTAAACCGATGATTATTGAAAAGGAAGAGGTCAATACCACTATTGAGCATGAGGCTGAACAAAAATTGGAATACGATTACAATGTTAGCTTTAAGGCCAAATATACTTTCGAGAAGGTGGAAAAGAAAAAGAAAAAAGTGGAGAATAATAGTGAAGCCGAAGAAGAGGAGGATATGGCAGCTGAAACTGTTGATAATGATGAACAGCAAAAAGATAATAGTGATGATAACGTTAAGGATAATGAGGAGGATTGGATTAAAGAAAGAAAACGCCGTAAACGGGAAAAACTTGTGGAAAAAGCAACAGCAGAAGAGATAAGTCAAGAAAAGCAAAAATCAGATGAAGATGTTGCTGATGAATTAGGAGAAGATGAATATTTAAACGATTCAAGTATAAAAAGTGGTCGTATAGAGAAAAAATCCAGAAGAAGTTTACATGAAGTGCGTAAACGTTTTTATGAGACAAGGGAAGATAGCTGCCGACGTCATATACCCACCCCCAGACGCATGTTTCTCTATTGTAATCGTCGGCGCAGGTTAAGTATTTTGAAATTTATCAAAGAGAATGAAAATGAACAAACTAGACTGCTACTAAACGAACATGTTATGAGATCGGTATATTATCATAAAATTGATGCTGAAAATCACAAAAAGAATAACAGTGTTGATGAATATAACCTTAAGGAACAAAACGATGATGGTGTGGTTAATGAAGTGGTTGTTGAACAACAGCCTCGACCAGCAAATGAAATTTTGGCAACCAGTGATAAAACACAGAAAAAGTTTTTGCTGGTCAATGAAGTTGTAGATCTTTTAGAAGATGATGAAGAACTGCCAAGCAGTTCAAGCGCTCTGCTTAAAGATAGAGATGAAAATACTCAATTAACTTCATCGAGCACTAGATCTTGCAGTTCATTCGAAAAAATTACACCCGATTCGGAAACTACAGAGTCTACTAAACACTTCCAAATCTGTTCTAGTGGTGGAGTTATAACAGTTAAGAAATGTGCTAACTTAACAGCAGAGAAAACTAAGGAACAAGATAAACCCATACAACCAGCACCAAAGGCAATTGCTCTTAATGAAACAAGTGCAGCAACAGATACTGGAAGCTTGGAAGCCTTAAAACTGCCAAAAATATCAAGTTGTTTTTCACTAAACATTAAAGCTAATACACAAAAGCCTACTTCTACAGCAAAACTAAATGAAGAACAATCTTTAGATTTCACCTCGGCCACCTCAGTGCACTCGGCTGCCTTTGCTCAAGCACAAAATCAACAAACTGCAAATGCCTCAAATGCTTTATTGGGGCCTAATACTACTGCCAAAGAATCGGGCACTGCTTTCACATTGGACATGGATAATGAAAATGTTAGGGATGTTTATAATAGTGTTATTAAAACCATGAATTCTTTGGTTAGCAAAAAGATGCAGGATATAGACTGTGCCCTACAGAGAGAATCACACATAATACCCACCCCCAATCCAGATATTTTATGCATCATGAAATGGTGCAACTTTCTAGATGCATTTTGCGAAGGTTTCGCCTATGTCTGGCAGGTGAAAATGAAAGATGACACATTTTTTGTGGTAACCATACGTAATATGATGCCTTTGATTGTGGGTGCCATGGGTATTGTAAATATTACCGCTTTAAAGCCGGATAAAATGCCTTTAATGGGCAAAATGCTGTTGCAGAAATTCCGCAACAAAGAAACCGAAAAATTAGCGGTGGTAATGCAGGGTAAAGATTCACATTGGGTGGTTAAGGGTTTCTTAAAATCTGATCCCACCATGGCTTGCAATAAACCTACACCAGAAACTCATCCTTCTTTAACGAAAAAAATCAATGTTTTATGTTCGCTGCTGGTCAAGCAGAGACAAAAGGAACAAAAGAAAAAAGAGAAAGTAACAAATCAATGGTCGAGCACAAGCTCGCAAATGAAAGCAACAAAAATTACTAAACCAACGGCAACGGCAGTAACACAACAACCACAAATCGCACCAAAAATAGCACAGATCATGCCTACACGTAGAATAACCACGGTGCAACACACACCCCCAACAACAGCAGCAACACCACAGCAATTATTAAATCAAAATACAACTTTACTGACACAACTGCAGCAACAACCGAAACCCATAACGCCACAAATCTTGACCCCAGAACAAGTGCCCGCCCAAAATTCTATAGATCTAACACCAAAAGCCAACAAACAAAATGACATAGAGCCGGGCAAAATAATCGCTAAGATAAACTCACGCAAACGTAAAGTCGATATGGCACAATCGAATAATTTGCTAAAAATGGATTCATACAGTAAAATGAGTTCCAACATCGAATTTCGCAGTGTAACACAAAGTGATCTTAATGAAATCTTTTTGCCGGAACTACACAAATTGGATCACAAATGGTTGGTACTCGATTTACATAATGATTTCTCACATATATTTGTACCAGATTTTCGTGATCTTGTTTCGCTGGATCGTATACAAAAGGTCATAAACTTTGCCAGGCAAAAGAGTAAAATTGTTAAATTACAATTCTTTCAAAATGCTCCCTTCGATGCTTTTGTTACACCCAAGTCGGGTAGAAAGATCTATTTTGGTCCTTTAACTATGGATATGAAATCGCCCACATTAATACTGTTGCAAAGTGTAGATGGTCAAATGATGTTGAGAGAGCTATATCAATTGCAACACAATATCGTAAAGAAGCCGGAAGAGAAGACTAAAGCATTTTGGTTAATACATCTTAAAGGAAAGACACAATTCGAGATGAATGTTAATATAAACGGAGTAATAAATACAAATGCCGCTGAACCACTATTGTCGAACGCAACAGGCACAACAATTTCTTTACAAACTAACGACGTTAATAAGGAAATTATAGCCACAACTGCTAAAACGGCCAATAATATTAATCAAGAAGTTAATCCCAATACTGAGGAAGAAGACGATGAAGATTGTATGATAATAGAAGATGACTCAGAGCAAAATATAGAAAGTATTCCCAGTATGGTGAGAAACTCTAGTAGAATTGATAATCTTAATAGTTTAACCGCACAAATCAATAACATAACTGCTGGACCAGCCATTCAATCTATTGTAACATCTCAAGCTGTAAGCATGGACACTCCACTGCACGCCACATCCACACAGTCTTTATTAAAAGTGCCAAATACAAATACCATTATAAAACCCTTGAACCCAACAAACACCTCGGCTCCAGTTGTTATAAATGTACCGGCAATGTCGGCAACAAACAAACCCTTGCCTATATTAACTTTGCCACCAAATACCATAATAACTGGAATAACACCAGCCACACCACCCACGCTGGAGGTAACACCAACAACTCCTATTATTAATTTGCCTACAAATGCTGTCATAACTGGCATTAAGACAGCACCACCAGAAGCTCCATATAGTTCTACCATCTTTATAACATCCTCCAGTCCTTCAACTCCAGCCGCTACAACTATAGTAACAACAGCGTCAACTAACACTATTAACAACCCAACAACAACAGTTTCCACAACTTTAACATCACAGGCAAATGAATTTAACAATAAAAAGACAATGAATATAACCAGGCAATCCTTAGAAGCGGGGAGCCATAAAACGCAGGCGCATTTCATTGTTTTGCTCGAATAAATATGATAAAATGTCGGAAAATTTAGCTGTCGATGCGGTTATTAAAAAGATATTACCTGAAAATGCTGAAGATATACAAATAAATCCCTTGTCAGTAAGCGAGGAAATAACTACTCCGCCCATGTTAACTCCCGAAGTTGTGACAACTGTGGGATCAACAAAAATTTCAAAACTACGCCATATAGAAACAAATGCTCTACAACAGGCTATGGAAACAAACACAACCGCTACACCTAACACATCTACCACTGCAGCAAAACCTAAGGCACCTATTGTATTTGATGTTAATTTTATGGATGATGGTGATGAACCGACAGCCTCGATTCTTATAAAACCTAGTAAATCTGCAGCAGCTGCAACTGAAACCACAAACACAACAACTTTGCCAATAACAAATAATAAAACTGTTACCAATACAACAAATTCTCTTATTAGACAACAACTTATGTCAACTACAGTTTCGCCAACAAATCTTTCCACAGTTCCTGTTTATAAAAATATTAAATTACCCACACGTTTTAATACAACTACAATAGCTGTCACTAACAGCACAAATACGGTAACTATATCCAACAAAAGAACATTAAACAGTCCAGCTACTGGTTCTATCAAAAGAACATCAAACAGTCCACCAGTTACTGTGTCCAATAAAAGAACATTGATTAATTCTATGCTTTGTACAAAACAACCAGATATTATACCAACATTTTCAACACCTAGACCCATAGCACCAAAAACAAATAATACTTCCTGCTCTCCAACCGATGATAATTCAAATCCTTTCCCTTTTAGACGATCGTCTGTGTCGCTTAAAGTACAGAAAATAATTAGTTCTTCTGCAGCAGCCACACAAACATCAGCTAAACCCCTATCCACCTCGGCTATAGTGTCAACAAATCAACCGACATCAGCTTCACCTTCAACTTTAACCGTGCAACAAGTACAGGAAATGTTAAATAAACCAGCCATAAGTGTTACTTCAAACAAAACACCAATAGCATCACCAGCTGCTTCACCAACAATGCCCCTACAAATATTGCCTGCAATAAAAGCCACCATAACTCCAGCAAACTCTAATGCAATTTCGTTAACATCAACAATTATAACTCCAGCATCTTCACCGATTTCGATTACCCCCTCTTCTACATGTACAGTATCATCTTCAACAACCAGCACAGCAATTAAAACCGTAACCACCCCATCTTCTACAGAAACAACTTCATTGAATCCCACCAACACTTTAACCATAACTAAAGTACAATCATTTGGTTCTCCACAGAAACCCCACAATAGCGATAAGAATTCACCAACGTTTACAAATACTCCCAAATCAATTGTAATCAATGATTTGAATGATGATGTACCAACAGTACCATCACCACCCTCTCACATACAATACGGCTATATTGTGTCTGCTACTCATTGTAATCAGAAGTTTGTTGCTAAACGTGTAGCCGATGAATTTTATGTTAAAGTACCTTCTGTAGGTATATTGAAGTTACAAGGTTTGACAGCTGTCAATAATTATCTTAATAAGTAAGTTTTTATTGTTTTTAAGATTTCAAAAAGAGAGAGATTTTAATTTCGTTTTTATGGATTTTCTAGATATATTAGTAAAACTGGAAAGGATGGACAAAATGCAGCTGCAGTATGGCAGTTTGTGGCCGCTAGCAAGGCTGTACAAATGCAAAATGTAAGTTTCAAACTTATTACAAATTCAGATTTTATATAAAGAGGGAATTTTTTTCTAAAATATCCTAAAAGAAAGAATTTTTCGATAAATTTCTATAAAAAAAGGGAATTTTTTTGATAAATTCCTATGAAAAAAGGAATTTTTGATAAATTCCTATAAATAAAGGGAATTTTTCGATAAAATACTATAAAAAAGGGAATTTTTCGATGGATTCCTATGAAAAAATGAACATTTTCGAAAATGTTCCAATAAAAAAGGATTTTTTTTAAAATGTCCTATAAAAAAGGGAACTTTTTGAATATTTCTTATAAAAAGGGAATTTTTTGAAAATGTCCTGTAACAATGGGAAATTTTTCAAAATTTCTTATAAAAAAGGGAAATTTATGATATTTTCCTATAAAAAGGTACATTTCGGAAAATTCCCTTTTTATAGGAAATTTTCGGAAAATTCCCTTTTTATAGGAAATTTTCGGAAAATTCCCTTTTTATAGGAAATTTTCGGAAAATTCCCTTTTTATAGGAAATTTTCGGAAAATTCCCTTTTTATAGGAAATTTTCGGAAAATTCCCTTTTTATAGGAAATTTTCGGAAAATTATAAAAAGGGAATTGTCCGAAAATTTTCTATAAAAAGGGAATTTTCCGAAATTTTCCTATAAAAATGAATTTTGTGAAAATTTCCTATATGAAGGATTTGTCAAAAATTTTCTATAAAAGAAAATTCTTAGAAATTTACTCATTTTTTTTAATTCATCTTTTTAGCATCAAAAAATCGCTGCTTGTACGTAAAACAAAGACTCCTAGTGGTACTACAGGAACGTCTAAAAATAATAATAACACTACTCCAATGAGTGTGACTTTAAGTGACAGCTCTTTAGATGAACCGATATTAATTGATGATTAAAAATCTGCTCTAATACAAAATGATGTTTACATCAGATGTTTAAAAAAAAAAACAGTTGTAGTTTGTAAATATTAGTAATTATTTAAGCCACTTTTTAAAGCTATATACATATTTATATGGAAATCTAGTTTTTTTTAGCAATATTTCTTTTTCATTTGGTTATAAAATTATACTTTTCTTTTTAATTTATATTAAGCAATGCTTTAATATGAGATTGACTCAAAAAACAACAATTTGAATTATTGTTTTGTTACTACACGATTAGTTTTTAAATGATAATTTCTTTATAGAACTTGTTAATCCTAGTTTACTTATTAAGTTAAGTATCTTTAGTTATTTTTTTTTAATTTCTTTATTATATTTAAATAGTATAAAAAAAATGAGTTCATTTATGTTATTTTTTAAACATTTTTAAAGGCAGCATAAATAATTTCGTATGTATGTTTAAATAAAAACCACAAAAAGGATATGAAAAAAAATGGAAAATATAAAATACTTATAAAAGCTCTGTATGTACTAGTACTAAAGTGATTTCTTTGTAATTTATTATTTTGCTTTTTCTTATTTACAAATAAAACCTGGGATTCATTTTAGTACTAGTACTAGAGCAAGTATATAAAAATTTAAACAAATGTTTTATTTCAAATAATTATATTATTCATCATTGAAAGCACCTTCCTCAGTAAGGAGATATTTTCGTATATTTTCTCTTACTTCTTTGGAGTTTTTCACACGTTCATGACACTGTGGCGGTAAAGAGGACATGGTTTCTGGTAGTTTCTGCTGTTGTTATCTCAAATGGATATGGTTCTGTCAAATCCTTAGATAAATAATTATGCAGTAAACAGCATGCTTTCACCAATGAACCGCAAGTATCTATGCTTACTTCAATAGGGCGGCACAAAATGCGAAACCTAGCTGCCAGCTTACTAAATGCTATATCAACTGACGTCATAGCATGCCGTAACCTCTCATTGAAACTTGTTGTGAATTTAATAAACTTGAATTACTGTTATAAGGCTTCATAACATGGCGTTCCAAGACAAAAATATCATCGCCTATAAAATAGTAGGGAGTTTTGACTAATTGTCCTTTTAGTTCTTTATCTGCAGGTACTTTTAACTTTTCTTCTTTCAGCCATTTATTTAGAGTTGAATTTTTAAAAACGGCATCATCGAAATCACGTCCACCTTACTAACATCAACATATAAAAATTTACTATGGGCATCGACTAGAGCAAAGAGTACAATGCTGCAATATCCTTATTATTGAAATATTCAGGAGTGGATTGTCCAGTTGTTTTTAATGCGGATATGTTTTCCGTCTATTGCTCCTAAGGTGTGTGGAAATTGCCATAAATGTTCAAATTCATTGGCCACCTCAAGCCACTCGCTTTTAGTAGAGGGTAGCTGAAGATTAAATAAAATAAATTATAATTCACAAACTATTTAGATTCTGATATGATGTATGGTACCTTTAAATATTTACTTTGTAAACATTCTATTATCGCTCTCAACACTTCGGGCAGAAATTGACTCATGGTTTTTCTTGAAATATGACTAATAACTTCCAATGCCCTCAATGAATCCCCGGTAGCTAAATAACGTAGAGTAATTGCCAATCGAATGCGGGCGGTAATAGCAACTCTCATAACGGTGTCTTGTTTTTTGATTTTGGGATAAACCTACAAAAATTTATAAATTATTTAAATTAAAAGTCACGACTATATTTTCCTGACCTGCGGACGGAGTCTTGAATATAGACCAGACTATAGTCAAGTCTATAGCCTTGAATGTAGACTGGAATATAGTATTGACTATAGAAAGGACTGTAGTCTTGACTATAGTCTTGACTATAGACAGGACCATAGTCTTGACTATATACTGGACTATAGTCATGGTAATAGTCTAAACTATAGCACTAAACACCGTCTTTACTGTAGACTAGACAAGTAGTCTTGACTATAGAATGGACTATACTCAGACTGTACTATACTCCTAACTATAAACTGGACTATGTCTTGACTATAGACTGGACTATAGTCTTGACTATAGACTGGACTATAGTCTTGACTATAGACTGGAATATAGTCTTGACTATAGACTGGAGTATAGTCTTGACTATAGACTGGACTATAGTCTTGACTATAAACTGGACTATAGTCTTGACTATAGACTGGACTATAGTCTTAACTATAGACTTGACTATAGACTGGACTATAGTCTTGACTATAGACTGGACTATTCTTGACTATAGACTGGACTATAGTCTTTACTATAGACTGGACTATAGTCTGGACTATAGTCTTGACTATAGACTGGACTATAGTCTTGACTATAGACTGGACTATAGTATTGACTATAGACTGGACTATAGTCTTGACTATAGACTGGACTATAGTCTTGACTATAGACTGGACTATAGTCTTGACTATAGACTGAACTATAGTCTTGACTATAGACTGAACTATAGTCTTGACTATAGACTGGACTCTAGTCTTGACTATAGACTGGACTATAGTCTTAACTATAGACTGGACTATAGTCTTGACTATAGACTGGACTCTAGTCTTGACTATAGACTGGACTATAGTCTTGACTATAGACTGGACTATAGTCTTGACTATAGACTGGACTATAGTCTTGACTATAGACTGGACTATAGTCTTGACTATAGACTGGACTATAGTCTTGAGTCTTGACTATAGACTGGACTATAGTCTTAACTATAGACTGGGCTATAGTCTTGACTATAGACTGGACTATAGTCTTGACTATAGACTGGACTATTCTTGACTATATAGACTGGACTATAGTCTTACTATAGACTGGACTATAGTCTGGACTATAGTCTTGACTATAGACTGGACTATAGTCTTGACTATAGACTGGACTATAGTATTGACTATAGACTGACTATAGTCTTGACTATAGACTGGACTTAGTCTTGACTATAGACTGGACTATAGTCTTGACTATAGACTGGACTATAGTCTTGACTATAGACTGGACTCTAGTCTTGACTATAGACTGGACTATAGTCTTGACTATAGACTGGACTATAGTCTTGACTATAGACTGGACTATAGTCTTGACTATAGACTGGACTATAGTCTTGACTATAGACTGGACTATAGTCTTGACTATAGACTGGACTATAGTCTTGACTATAGACTGGACTATAGTCTTGATATAGACTGGACTAGTCGTCTATGTCAAGACTATGTCCAGTCTATAGTCAAGACTATAGTCCAGTCTATAGTCAAGACTATAGTCCAGTCTATAGTCAAGACTATAGTCCAGTCTATAGTCAAGACTAGTCCAGTCTATAGTCAAGACTATAGTCCAGTCTATAGTCAAGACTAGAGTCCAGTCTATAGTCAAGACTATAGTCCAGTCTATAGTTAAGACTATAGTCCAGTCTATAGTCAAGACTAGAGTCCAGTCTATAGTCAAGACTATAGTTCAGTCTATAGTCAAGACTATAGTCCAGTCTATAGTCAAGACAATAGTCCAGTCTATAGTCAAGACTATAGTCCAGTCTATAGTCAATACTATAGTCCAGTCTATAGTCAAGACTATAGTCCAGTCTATAGTCAAGACTATAGTCCAGACTATAGTCCAGTCTATAGTAAAGACTATAGTCCAGTCTATAGTCAAGAATAGTCCAGTCTATAGTCAAGACTATAGTCCAGTCTATAGTCAAGACTATAGCCCAGTCTATAGTTAAGACTATAGTCCAGTCTATAGTCAAGACTCAAGACTATAGTCCAGTCTATAGTCAAGACTATAGTCCAGTCTATAGTCAAGACTATAGTCCAG